GGGTGGTTTCAAAGGTGGATCTGGGACCAACAGTAGCGAACCTGGAAGTGAGGGATCTCCAAAGTGGACAAGGTATATAATGATTTTGCTGGCCGGATAGGTGGACAAAACCCTGAGGTGTGTGGTTCAACAAGATAGTTTGCAATTTGGGCCAAATGCAGCTGGGAGTGGCATTGGTTTTCTGCCACGGGTTACAAATTTTCAACATCCTAGTGGCCAGGGGAACAATTTGCGGATGCATGGAGGTGGTTTTGCTCTTATGCCTAACCAAAACTTGCCTCAAATGGTCCCTATGAGTCTGGGTTTGAGTCAATTGGGATCAATGCCTTAGGAACAGATAGCTCAGCAATATCAATACTTGCTTGCAAATGTGCCCAACAAGACTGTTCTACAAACTCAATGTGATGGTAAAGAAAGTGGATGCAAAGAAACAAACAAAAAAATGATGCAAGTGGATCAAAAGAAATGTTTTGTGCAAAGTGTAAGGGACAGGGGCATCTAAAAATGAATGTAAATCAAAGTTTTCTGTGTGGTTTGTCAAAGGCCCTCACACTATACAGAGAAATCTACTATTCTGAAACAAACTAAGCATATTGCAAAATATGTGGGATATGGTGCTAGGGGGCTTGGTTGTGTGTCGGTGCAAAATACTAAAGACATTGCTACTACATAACATGCTAATCATATGGCACCGATAACATTTTCTCAGGTCAACTAAATGAAACTACTGTGGCTCAAGGCTTCAACAAGATGTTTGAGTGGGGTGGACGGGAAGGGCTAAGTTTCAGAGTCCAAAAACTTTCTTAATGAGATTTCCTAGCAAGACCAAGCTGGTAGAATTATGGAATTTTGAGAAAGTTACTTTACTAGGAACAACAGTTATAGCGGAGGTTGACTTCTGGAGCCTTAACGACAAGGCCAAAGGGAAACTACACTCTATTTGGATGAAAATGTCGGGAGTGCCTAATACCTTGAGACATTACTTAGGGATATGTGAGATTGGCATGGCCTTGGGGCCTATTGTGGAGTTAATGTAGAGCACATTCACTCACAAGAAGAAATCAGGTTTCAGGTTGGAGTGAGAGACCTACATAAGATTCGAGCTAGGACTGAGATCAACACGAAACATTTGTCGTTGTATGATATTGGCTTTGAATTTGTGTCCATTGCATAACGGTGGTGGTATAAATGTGATGATGGAAACAAAAATAAAGTATTTGATTTCTTATCTTTGGAAGATATACCTGAGCAAAAAGAAAATGTTGTGCGGAAGAAGAACGAACAATCTGATCCTGGTAAAAATACTGTGAGTGTAGGGATCTTTGGACTGAAACAATATGAACAAGTTGTAATAGTGATGGGCAAAACAATCTCCTGCTGGGAGGAAGTAGCAATAATATAGAGAAAAGGGTGCGGGAGGATAAGAGAGAGGAGCAGAATTTTCTTATGAGGCTCCAATTGGCAGAAGAGATGGTTGTCAGACAGGTTGCTCAGCTGATATTGGAAGAGAAGAAGAGGAAGGAAATGTAAATAATTAAGAGTGGCTTTGAGAGAGAGGTTAAAATATAGCATGAAGTATTACAAATCAATTTTAAATAGTTGATGAAGTGAGAAAATCTCAGTCTGATGAAAAAAGCATGGAGAAGGATAATAGATCCATGGATGGTGATGAGCTTGAAGGAGAAGGGACAACTGAAGGCAAAAATATGACAGAGCTGGCAATGCTAGAAGAGGAGATAGGAATGGGATACTTGGCGCCATTAGATTATTGTGTTAATCAAGATCAAGAGTCCTTTGAGACAAAAATCAAGAAAGCCGAGAGGGGGGACTTGAAATAAAAGAGGAAGAGAGGCTTAGAAGGTGTGAAAGACTCAAAGGAAAATAAGATTGCAACATCATTGATTTAGCTCAAGAAAGGGGCTCTAAGAAGGATATCTATGGTAACAATGATTCCCGTGACTTGCTTCTTACATCACACAATTATTTACAGAATGTTGCAGATGGTGTGGGTGTTAGTTTAGGTGCAAATATTGATGTGATTGAACATAATATCAAGCTTATTAAGTCAGTGGAACAAGCTAGAGTTGATATGTGGGTGACTAACAATAATAACAAAACTAACAATGATGCTCACATCCCTGAAGATGCTCATTTTATTGATACATGGGAGCATAGTCTTGAGGAATTGATAGAATGTGAGGAGGGGAGTGACGGGAAAGATAATGTTGGCGACTGGGACGAATTGAGAGGCATTTTCTGTCCAAAACAAAGAAAAAATAAAAGCAAAAACACCAGAAATTCTGGTGGTAAAGCTGTTGTCATAGTTAAAACTGCTGAACAATCTAGCAAGAAAAAGAAAACAAAATGTGAGATATTTTCTTGAATATGAGAGGTTTTGGGGGTGATATCAAACTAGATTTCTTAAGTAAATGATCATGGATATGAAAGTTGATTTTATGCCTTACAAGAAACCATGAGACAAGCCTTTTCCAGAACAGATTTACAAAATATATGTGCTGGTAGGGATTTTCATTGGCATTTCATTCCTGCCAGGGATAAATACGGTAGTTTTTTTTGGGGGGTCAACTATACCACACTTTATTTGATATCAAAGGATGAAGTTGATTATCATATCAAGATGATTGTGCAAGATCTAAAACCAAGCTTATTTGGGACTTGGTAGTAGTATATGGGGAAGCTCAGCCAAAAACAAAAGTTGCTTTCCTTGCTAAATTATCTAGAATTTTCCAAAAAAATTAAACCTATTTTAATTCATGTATATTTTTAATATAATTACTAAAGATGCGGAGGAAAACAAACCAGGAACTCCTGGTCATTGGAGCTTCATGTCAATGCCATTCTAGAACAAGCTGGAGCGAGAGAGCTACAAATACATGGCAGACAGTTCACCTGGGGGAATAATCTACGTGTCCCCACCTTTGAAAAGCTTGACATAATCTTTTGTAGTATGGAACGGTAAGAGACATACCCCCTAACACGGGTGTCTGCCTTGGTGAGAGAAAAATCTGATCATACTCTTATTTTTCTAGATTCTGGTGATATACAAAGATCTGATCCTATATTTAGATTTGAAAATTCCTGGCTGTTGAGAGAAGGAATTGATAAAATTGCGAGTGATGTTTAAAGTCATCCAAGCATCACTGACAGTAATATAGAGATACGACAAGCTAGGTTTTGATTGCTTAGACCTAAATTGAAGGGGTTGAATAGAAACAGAAATGTTTGGTATAGAGAGCTTAAAAATATGTTCTTACTAAGCTTGATATAACTGATAAACATTGTGGCATTTTTGGGCTCTCTGCTAAGGATACAAATGAGCAACTAGATCTTAGAGCTCAACTAGGTAGGCTTCTCAAGAAGGGGGGGGGGGGGGCTAAGTGGAAGCAGAGAGCTAAAGTAGATGAACTATTGGAAGGTGATGGTAAAACAAAAAAATTTCAGGCCAAGGCCAATGGCAGACGTAGGAGGAATAAGGAGAATTTATGTGGAAGAGATCAAATATTTGGTTTTCAACATGGCTAATAACAAATTCCCTGGCCTTGATGGCTTTACTGCTGAGTTCTACCATAATTTCTGGGATTCAATTAAATCTGATTTAAAAGCTCTTTTAGATGATTTTACAGAAGAAAAAATGGACATAAGGAGACTCAGTTATGGCATTATAACTCTAGTACCAAAAAATATTTATAAACCAAGTATAGAAATCTAGCCCCATTTGTCTGTCAAATGTAAGTTTCAAATTTGTGAACAAATTTTTGATAAACAGATTAAATTTAGTAGCTGCTGAGGTAATTTGTCCAATACAAACTGCCCATGTCAAAGGAAGATATATTGTGGAAGGAATCCTAATACTTCATGAAGCTCTGAACAATATACATAGAAAGAAGGAAAATGCTTTGCTTTTAAAGGTAGATATTGAAAAATCATATGAGAAAATCAAATGCTATTTTGTTTTTTAAATGTTCAAAATGAAAGGTTCCTCAGATAAATGGATAAATTGGGTGATGGAAACAACTAGAGGTGGCAAAGTTTGTGTCAAAGTAAATGATAATTTGGGAACATGTTTTTCCATCATAAAGGGTTGAGAGAAGAAGACTCACTCTCTCCTCTGAATTTTGATCTGGCAACAGATGCCCTAGATATGATGTTAGACAATGCTAGGGAATTTTGTCTTATAAAAGGGGTCCTTATTGAAACTGTGACAAATGGGATAAACATGATGTAGTATGTAGATGGCACTATTTTTGCTACATGATGATTATGAAAGTGCACACAATTTAAAATATGTTCTTTATCTCTTTGAGCAAATGTCTGGACTAAAAATAAACTTTCAGAAAAGTGAACTTTTCTTATTTGGAAATGATGTTGATAAAGCAAATGAATATTCTAGGATCTTTACTTGCCCTGTTGGTGATCTCCCGACGAAATACTTGGGACTTCCTGTGGATGAAAAAAGGATTAGAAATAAACACTGGAAGCCCCCAGAGGAAAAAATGGATGGAAAATGTGAAAATTGGCAGGGTAGGTTACTAGCTAGTGCTGGGAGGATCACCCTAATTCAGTCTTCTCCGACTATGGTCCCATACTTCATGATGTCTTCGTATGCGTTCCCGGTGGGTGTTAGTAAAGAACACTTCCTTTTACTGTGTAGATTTAAAGTGGGAGAGGGAAAATTGAGATTTTGGGAGGACTGGTGGATAGGGCACAAAGCTTTGAAACATAGTTTCCCTAGATTATATAGTATTTGCTTTCGTAAAAACAAACCTGTCAAAGATATCCTTGATGGTGTGATAGACAATGTGAAATTTAGAAGAACTCTGATTGGAGATTCTCTTGAATTGTGGAATCACATCAAAGAGGTGTGTGCTTCCCTAGTTTTGTACAAGAATAAAGATGAATAAGGTGGACCCTGATTCATGAACCACCACAAATGCAATCCTGTGGAATTTATTAAAATTGATCTCTGGAAAATTTGCAGCATGGAGTGGTGGTCGTTCGAGGTGATGGTGATACTGTCCGGCCTTCTCCCCAACCCCAAGCTCGAGACTGCCGTCCTCTCTATCTGGTATACTATAAGTTGATCTTTCTTTTCTTTGTGATGGATAGATTCATCTCCACTCCATCTCCATGGACGGTCGCTGCTTGCTTGACCTATCTCTCTCCGGTGCAGCTTGAACACCAACTCCTTGGTGTGCACGGTGCCGAATGGGCTCTCTTCGGCCATAAGCACGCGCGTGTCCAACGAGCTCGGAGTGGGGCAGCCCCGGGCGGCGCTTCTGGCGGCCCGCGTGGTGATAGTGCTGGCGTTTCTGGTGGGCACGTCGGAGGGGCTCCTCCTGGTTCTTGTGCACAAAGTGTGGGGCTATGCCTACAGCAAGGACCAGGAGGTGGTCTCCTACGTCGGCACCATGATGCTCATCCTCGCCGTCTCCGTCCTCTTCGACGGCCTCCAGTACGTCCTCTCAGGTATGATTGCATGTCATGCATGTTGTGGAACAAGGCTTTATTTACTGCACAGTTTGACTTGTAAACAAAAATATACACTTCACACCAGTATATATACGTACTTCACTTCCTTGGTTTGTATGTACCGCCCCCATCATTTTGACCGGGGGCAAACAAATCTACGTATGGAATTCGTGGTTAGCTTAGTTATGATGGGATCAATTATCAGTCATCTGCTAATTCGTAGGGGAGAAGTTAAAATTTGCAACTCGTCAGAATTCTAAAGCATGTTCTTCCTCTTCGTAGTAAAAGACTGCAACTTGTTGGTTGAATCAGTCATCTGCTAGACTGCTGCCACATGTTGCTTCGGTCTATGTATTTGTTAATTGATTTCTCATTCCTGGAGATTGATAGATGGTTTTGATCTTCAGTTTCATCAATCTACGATTTTGGTGGCGATGCAGCCGTTAATTCGACGTTAGATTAGCAGTTGAAGTAATTTCCAACCGTGGAAGATGTATTTTGTGACCGTGGGATATAAGATCCTTCGCGCAACAAATGAATCGACGAAATATATGCTGCTTATATGCTTATTAACAAAGGGTTGCATACATCTCCCACCAAGTTATGCATTATGTCTTGTCAAATAAATATTTATATGCATTATGTGATAGTAACATACTAGCTCCAAATCATTTCATTTGCATCCGTGATCTCTGTACTGATATAATACATGAAGATGGCTTCATCTCACGGTCAAATTATGCATTAACTATCTATTCTATTATGTGACGGTCTTCTTTAAAAAAATAATCCAGATGTATTATCAAAGTTCACCATGACAAGCTTAAGGAAAACAAATGAAAAATGAAAGAAAAAAGTGAAGAACTAAAGAGTTTAAACTGATGGAAGACAAAGAAAACAAAAGGGAAGACAAATATGACTTACAAGTTACAAACAACTACAACTAGATGAACCACGGTGCATGGTCTCCATGGGCCATAGGATATTTCATGTGACTGGACTGGTCGACTAGAAACAAATGCATTGAAGACTGATACGGATTAATTAAAAATAATGCAAGATTAGTTCATGCAAGATAATGTGGCTTAGTAAGACAGACATACAAAGAACTTGGGAATGAGGAAGGACACTCAATGAGCAAGAGACTAAACACATAATGTATATAGTAGCTAACTGATGCATACAGACTGAGGGACCGCATGCTTATAAAATGATAAATGGGAATACTAAACAAAATCGAAGATACTAAAATAGGAACAATAATAATGCACAGAGATTACTGAAAACTGAATAAAATCTTGAAACACCCCCACGTAAAAAAAAACCTTCGAACAAAATAAGTAAACACTGAAGAACACACACAAAAAAAATATCTTAAAAAATATTAAAACAATGATAATACACAAAGATTGTCTAAATAAGAGAACATTTTAACACAAAAAAAACACTGAAGACAGAAGGAATAAGTAACCAACTGCTGGAATGAATGAAGAATGAAACAAACATCTAAACAGAAACAATAATGAACTGAAAGAGAATCCGAAGACTTAAGAAATAGAGAGTGAGGAAAAAACTAAAAAAATCCAGTGTACAAACTGCTACATGAGGTAAGTAATGACACCCGCACTATATTTTGAAACGGAGAGATTAATAGATTGCATGAAACAAACGTAACTTATGAGTGCACGTGTTGATGTGACATGGCTACATGATTAAAAATTAGGGACGAGTTACAACAATTCAGGATTGAAGGATTACTTCATTTAAGTGTGAGAAACATAGCTATAGATCATACTGACGTACTACCTCCGTCGTGGTTTATTAGTCCCCTTTGTAATGTGTGTTAAACTTTGATCAAAGATTTAACTGACAACATATTAGTGCATGTCAACAAAAATTATATAGTTGGATTCATATTTGAACATAGTTTTCAATGATATAATTTTTTGTGACATGCATGAACATTTTGTTAGTTAAATTTATAGTCAAAATTTGACACAGATTATAATGGAGATCAATAAACCAGGACAGAGGTAGTACGGAGTACCTCTCTTTAATTCATATCACTTGTTGTCCTAATACATATATTTAAACGTATTGTAGTGCTAGATAAACAAAAAGTAAGTTGCATTGATTGAAGGAGTACTGAAATTAGCGCGTCACTATCCTGATTGTCCAAGCAAATTGATCGTAGTCTTAACTATTTTTAGAGCATGGTACACTTTTTCTATAACTATCCAAGGCGTACTGATAGAGCTGATTTATCCACTCCGTTTGGCGCTGCAACCATTTTCCGATATTCCAGCTGGTTCTACTACTCCGTAATTGTTGAACAAACAATTGTATTCTACTGCACCGTACTCCTTCCCCAATGAGACTATGGCTAGGCGGTGCAGCTATGGCCATGCCATGTCCCATCGCGCGTTGGGAACCGTCGGCCGGTGGCAGGCACGGCTGGCTACGCACGCCGTGCAGTAAACGTCTCGTCGCCAGCAGTAAACGTCTTACAGGGTATGTAAATTTGTGATTGACTGTTCAGGCCAAAGATATCAGCCGCAACCTAAATTTGCTGCATTATTTACGATTTGAACAAAAGGTCTATATTTTAGCTCCGGTCAACCACGAACCAGTCCTTTTGAGGTCTCCCTGCTGGTAAAAACAAACAGCAGAAGATTTAGAGACACGCTAAGCTAGGCTGAAACAAGCATACGATTAGTACACCAAATACTATACGGTGGTGGTTCATTTTGCTGTGGACTATTGCAGCTTTGCTGTGGACATTCGGAGGAGAGGAGATTTGGCTGCACCCACGACCACGAGGCTATGGCTGCACGGTGCAGCTAGGTTACGGAGGACCTGTGGCATGTACCGTCGCGCGTCGGGAAGCGTCATCCGGTGGCAGGCACGACCAGCGGCGCACGTCACATTTTGACTCTCGGCCCTTGACCAATGACCGATGTCCATCAATCAATCGAGTACACATTGCCTCAGCTGCTTACTTCGTTTACTGTGCCGTGGGCTTGCTGCCTTTTTTCCAGCCGTTCACTGGAGAGAAGAGAGGGAGAGAGGGGGCGAACGCACGGTGCTAGTTCGGCCACGGAGCAGGAGCTACCCAATGGCCAGGTGAAGTAATAAAAGCAACTCTAATTGGGCGACCCAAAGCGGACGGGCGATTTCGTCCGCTTTTTGTCCGTTTGGATCGGCCGTCCACCCGGCGTCCTCCCTGTTTTTGATATGGGTCGGCAGCGTGCCCAACGTGCCGACTCATATGTGCCGCCGTGGCCGGCTGGCCGTCCAATATTATTTTTATTTACATTCAAACATATTGTCAAATAACATAGTTCACTGAATAAAATAATATAGTTTTACAAGCCGGATACAAATAAAAATGTTTCACATAGTTTTGCATAGAGTTAATTGCCCAAAACTATCAGATTTGTGGCTAGAGTACTCCAAAACTACCGATTTGAGCGAAAATAACGAAAGACCATCACTTCTGTGGCAAGTGAATAACACATAACACTAAACGCGATGTGACCCGCGGCTAAGTTGGAATCTGACATGCCTGGCCCGCCTGTCGGGACCACGTGGCGAGGGCTAACGGCGCAGGCCAGATGGCCGTTTCCCCCGCTCGTCAACTGTGTTGGCTAGCGCGCGACAGGGCATTTCTCTCCTCTGCTTGTTCTCTCCTCTCCTCTGCTCCTTCCCCTCTGGCGCCGCACCTGTCACCGCCGTCGTCGACGCCATCCGCCGCCGCACCGCCGACGGGAGGGAGTAATGGCGTCTTGGTCTGATGGCTCTGGCTCGTCCTCGTCGTCTGACGATGAAGTTAGCAACGTAAGCTTCTGCTCATGTGGATCCAGGTGCATCTAGGGTTAGGGTTCTAGGTAGAAAGGGGAATTTATGTTCCCTCTAGAAGCTGAACACTTCTTCCTCATGTTTAGGCACCTGCGACCATGGAGTGCACGGAATGGTGCGGCATGGCTCTGAATTATCCTGCACGTTGTGAGCATCAATCCCCCTGTGAGAAGTTGGTTGCGTTTGAATCCACTCATAGCGGCAGGAGGTTTCTAGGCTGTGCAAAGAAGGTAAATTAGCAGTGCAATTAGGTGATACACTGTACACATTTCATTGCTTGGCTGTTTTACTGATTTTGTGAAGTATGTGAATTGTTATTTTATTTTCTTACATGACTGATAGATTATCTTATAAGTAGAATATTAGCACAAGTAGGACATTGTTATTATCTTATAAGTGTGCCATAAGTTTTCTTCATAATAAATTCAGCTATTTAGTACATATCATTATTTTTGCTGCTGTGTATTATAGGATGGACACAATGCAATGCAGAACAGAACATTAGCACAATGATTTGAGCTCAGTGGTTTTGCATTGTTATCAGAAAATTTTAGTGCTATATGGTTTTGCATTGTTAAAAGTTGGTTCTGCATTGGTTATAAATTTAATTCTTTTTTTCACACATTCTTAGGATGGACCCAAGTGCCCATATGTGCAATGGATTGACTCTGAGTGGCCAATCCCATTGAAGACAACTTTAAATAGGATCCGGTCTATGTATGAGAAGGAGTTGACTGATAGGTTGAGACAGAATGTAGTTAATGTTGAAGAAGTGTACAAGGTAGTTGAAGAGAAGAGAAAGATGGAAAATGGTTCTTTAAAGTTGACTTTGCTAAAATGGTGGCTGACAAAGAGGATGCAATTGAGCAGTTAGGCAATGCACGAATATCTCTTAGTGACCTGAAGGAAGAGCTCCAGAAAAAGAACTTGGCTGACAAAGCAGACACTAACATCCATCAGGTGCTAAGGGCCAAAGCAGAGAAAGAGAGAGACTAAGAGAAGTTAGAGAAGTTGAAGCTGCTGCAGGAGATGAACCAGATCAAGCAGGAGAGGGACAGGTTGTTGGAGGAGAGGGGGAAGTTCAAGCAAGAGAAAAGGCACCTGGAGTACACCATAGGTGATCTATTCAAGGAGAAGGAGGCCACCAAGGGGAAGATCAGGAAGATCAAAGAGATAGTTGATGGATGAATTCATGTTGTTTGTACTAGTATCTCCTATTTGTATCACTACTAGTATCTCATATTTGTATCACTACTAGTATCTCCTATTTGTATCACTAAACAACTCAAGACATTTGTACTGAAATTGTGCTTCTGGTCAATCCAATTGTGCTACTGGATTATGCTATTAATGCCTCATTTGTGCCTGTTTTTGTGTTAGATGAAAGTGCCATATTAGTCATGTTCTGAGTAATATAATTATGG